GCACGACGCAATGTAAGATGTAGCATCTTGGCGCGGGCCCGACCTTGCACTTCGCCCTCCGCGACTTTCACTCCTGGCCCTGACCCCCCCTTCCTGGCGCCGATTCCCCGGCCAAGTTTTCTACCTCTGGAGGCACCCGCCCCTCAGTGAGAAGCCTCTGTACATCTCGCTGGTCCGTTCCGTGGACATCATCACGCAGCATGCGGAATACATCCTCCCAGGGCGGTCACTCCTCGGCATGTCTGACAGGCCTTGCCAGTCTCGCCATCACCACGACAAAACCGATATCTTCACTGGCCTTGTATCTTCCCGTTGGTCCCGCTTTTATGGCCCCCTGCGGTGAGCTCGCTTTGGGTCGTCGCCCAAACTTCCGAATGTCATGCTCGGGGTAGACAAGCCCGACGTCAGCAACCATGGTTGTCTCTATTTTGGCGGCACACCTTCAAATATTTGGGCGGCACTCCAGAGACCCCACGCGCGTGCGAAGATCATTCTGCCGAGCTGCCCTTCCGAGCAGGGCTCCACGTTCGCCATGCGTTACCCGAGAATGGCCGCGTTGACCACCCAACTGCACCTAGGGCACAAGGAGTTGCACATGCTTCCGGACGCCCTCGTTGTGGAGTGTAACAGCCCCCACGGCGCGATGCAAGGCGCGGCCGCTGTGCTCACAGGCGGTTCCCCTCACAACCGACTACGTGCTCGTCTTCACGCCGGCCTCCGAGGAGTCATGGACCACGCTGCTCGCCATTATTTTTCCCCTGCTAACACCCCTGCTAACACCCTCGCACGCGGCGGCCCAGTTCCTGCTGGCGCCAGCACTGGCCGCAGCTCCGCCCGCGAGCACCCCGGCAGCAGCGTCATCCCGCCCCCGACGGCTCTCGACTCGCGGCGGCCCACGCCCGCACACGAACCGCAGGGCCGCGACCCGGGCCCGCGAGCACTCGGCCGGCGCCGTGCCATTGTCATTGCCATTGCGAACACCCATGCCATTGCGACCATCCAGGAGAACGAGAAGCATACCATTGCGAACATCCAGTGGAAGGCCAGCCGCTCCGGCGGCCGTCCCAGGGCAGCTCCGCCTGCCACTGCTCTGGCCCTGACCGCCTCCCGCCGCCATCGCGGGCGCGGCGGTCGCAGCTCCACCGTGAACGCCAACATCGCGGGGACCAGCGCCGTCGGGGAAGCTGGGAACAACGGGAGCATGGTGATCGATCAACACCTGTCCCACGTCTGCGCCGCCACAGGCTTGCCGCTTGCCGCGCCCCTTCCGGGTCAGGTGCCGCGGCCAAGACAGCAGGTTTATCTTGTTTCTCGAGCTGCCAGCGCTCATCGTGGTCGCGCGCGAGCGTGTACCTACACCCGCACCAAGATGTCCAGCAGCTGTACCGCGTGCTACCTGGTCTGGTGCCCCAGATCTGGGTGGACTTCTTGGCCATGAGGGTGCCCCGCGACGTTCGGGACTATCGCACCCTCCTGGGAAACAGGCGGCGGGGGGGGGGGGGGGCAGGGGGCTGCCTACGGGCGCTCGCTTTGGGAACATTCGGCGGCGCGTCTCGAACTGGGGGGTGGGGCGCCCCCCCCCCAACACTCGGCGCCCGTCGCCGTCTCAGAACCAAAGGGGACTCCCCTCCCCCTAACCCCGGTCCCCTCCCGAACCCCCCCCCCTCGGCACCGGCGCCGCTGGCGCCCGCGCTGGCGGCCGCCAGCGGCGCCGACGGCAGGGACGCAGCGACGATGACCAGAGAGGGCCCAAGGGGAGGGGGGGGATCCAAACACACACCCTCGCGCCGGCGCTGGCGCCGGCACTGGCGGCGGCCAGCAGCGCCGACGGCGGGGACGCAGCGACGATTACCACCACTACCACCACCACCACCACTACCACCACCACCACCTCAACCCACCACCACCACCACCAACCCACCACACAACCACCACCACCACCACGACCACAGCCAACACCACCACCACAACCACACCCACTACAACTCACCACCTACACCACCACAAAAACCAACCACCACAACCACCACCACCAAAATCTAGCACACCACCACGACCACAACCGCCACAACCACCACCACAACCAGCAGCACAACCCACCACCACCACAAACCACCAAACCACCACCACCACCACCGCCACCACCACCACCACCAGTACCACCTCCACAAACCACCACCGCCAACACCACAACCCACAACCACCACCACCACCATCACAAACTACCACCACACCACCACCAAACCACCAAACCACCACCACCACCACCACAACCCACCACCACCACCACAATCCGCCGACCCCTTGGGGATCATCGGCGTGTGAGATGCTTCCCCCTCCCCAAACCCCTCCCCCGGGAGCCCGGTCCGGTCGATTTGGAGGGGGGGGGGGGTCCGGGACGAGCGGGGGGGGTCCGGGACGAGCGCAGCACGGCCGGGACGAGCGGTTCACGGGGCTTTTCCGGGCCCAAGAGGGCCTCAAGACGGGCCAAGAAGCCCCCAAGAGGCCTCCAAGACGGCCCACGAAGGCCCCGAGACGCCAAACGACCGCTCCAAGACGCCCAAGATGGCCCCAAGACGGGCCAAGAGGTCTCCAAGACGGCCCCCGAGGTCCCAAACAAGCCTCCCAAGAGGGCCCCAAGAGTCTAAAATTGTTGATTTTCCATAGTGTTTTTCGATGTTTTTTGCTTTTCCGCCTTTTCGGCTTCCCGACGCTCCAAGACGGCCAAAGAGGCCCCAAAGACAGCCCCAAGATGGCCCAAGAGGCCCCCAAGACGGCCTCCAGACGGCCCAAGACGGCCCCAACACGGCCCAAGAGGTCCCCAAGACGGCCCAAGAGGGCTCCAAGACGGCACCAAGAGGGGCCCAAGAGGGCGACCAAACATGTTGAAACTCTAGCTTTCTGCCCCCAGGAGCCCCAGGGGGCCCCAAGAGTGCCCCAAGAGGCCCCCAGAGGCCCTCACGAGGCCGCCCAGACGCCCCAAGGAACCCCCAAGAAGCACCCCAGAGGCTCCGAAACGGCCCCCAAGTGGCTCCAAAACTCGCTTCCAGAGGCCCCCGAGAAGCGATCCGCGAGATCCCGATACACATACAAGAAGCCTCTCACCCATAACCCATAACCCAGAGCCGTTTCTCCGTGTCCCCCTTCTCCTCCTCCTCCTTTTCCTCCACCTGGGCCCCCAAGTGGTTCCAAACTGCCTGCCATAGGCCCCATGCCGGCACACCCTTTGCACGCGCCGTGGCCTCGCACATGGCCAAGTTGACCCATCATGACTCCTGGGCAGTCCCCCAAAAAAACTCCCGACCGCTACCGAAACGGCTCGAAGACATTCCCGAGCCCAACCTGGCTCCATTATGCCTCTCAGATGGCCCCAGATGAGACCACGACCGCCCGCGGTGTCGCCGTCCGCTCGGACCCCCCCGCGGAACTGCCCGAGACCCTCTGGCGGTGGCGGCGAACAGACACCAAACAAATATCACTCGCCTTTTCACCCCTTCGCAGCTTCTACTACCCCCAGATTGGCATAAACAAGGGGTCGGCGGTGTGGCGTAAGCCTAAGAATCACAAACCACCACCACACCACCACTACCACCACCACCACCACCCACCACAGCAACCACCACGACCACCACAACAAACCACCACACCACCACCACCACTACCACCACAACCACCACCACCGCCACCACCACCACAACCCACCACCACCATCACCACCATCACCACCACAAACCACCACACCACCACCACAACCGAAACAACAACAACCACCACCAACCACCACCACAACCACCACCACCACAACAACAAACCACCGCCACCACAACAAACCACCACCACAGCCACCACGACCACAACACACCACCACCACCATCACCACCACCACCACAACCACTACCACCACCACAACCATCACGACAAAACACCACAACCACCACCACCACCACCTTAACCCACCACCACAACAACTACCACCACCACCATCAGAAACCACCGCCACCACCACCACCACAACCTGCCACCACCACCACCACCACAACAACCACCACCAACAAACACACCTCCACAACCACCACCACCACCACCACCACCGCCACAATCTACCACCACCACCACCACCACCACCACCACAGCCCACCACCACCGCCACCACCACCACCACCTTAGAGAGGCCCCAAGAGACGCCCAAGAGGCGCCCAGGAGGCTGCACAGATGCCCTTCAGAGGCCCCCGAGAGCTCTCCGACGAGACCCCAAGAGGCATCCATTAGGACTCTGACCCGAAACCAAGGTACGGTGGCGGAGCGTCGTCGTCGTCGTCGTCATCGTCGTCGCCGTCGCCCTCGTCGACGCTCCCCGCCGCCGCCGCCCGCCGCCGCAGGCGCTAGCGCTGGCCCAGACAAGGAAGTCGTCGTCCCCGTCCCCGCCGCCAGCCGCCGCCGACGCAGGCGCCGGCCCGAGGAGAGGGAGAGAGCAGAAATAGGGGAGGAGGGGGAGGGGAGGGGGGAGGGGGGGGGTTCGAACCCCCCCCTCCGTCACGGGAGGGGGGGGGGTCCGGTTCCAAACCCACCCACCCTCCAAGCGACCAGAACGCGCTCTTTCCTTCATCGCCACTGGCCAACTGGGGAACTCAGATTGTTGATTGCATGCCTGCGGCCTCTTGTAAACTCCTGAGGCCTCCGCGATTCCACCGAACCCCCCGGGTCCAGGGAGGAGGAGAGTGATGCAAGGTGGAGGAGGCAGAGGGGTGAGCAGGAGGATTGGGAGGAGAAGGAGGAGAGAGGACGGAGGAGGGGTATGAGGTTGGATGCAGGTATCCAGATCCCCAAGATAATACTTCGTCGTGGTCGTAGGTACCCCTCCCTCCCTCCCTCACTCCCCTCTTAACTCCCTCCTTCACTCCCCCCATCTCTCCCTCCCTCCCTCCCCGTGCACCTCCCTCCTCCACTGCCCCTCCTATCCCTCCTCGCGCACGGCGCCCCCCCCCTGGACAGAAGCGCACGGGTGCAGTGACGTTGGGCGCCAGCATCGCCTCCTCCGCCCCGTCGAGCACCGCGAGCGCCTGCTGCCACTCCCCGCCTCTCTCGCGGCGCCAAAAAAAAAAGGGTGCGGGGCCCGAGAGTCCAGGATCGGGGAGGCCTTGGCCGTGCCTCGACCCCTCTCCGGCCTCCAGGTGCCCCCCGCGTGGCCGCGCCGGGGCGCGGCTCGCGAGACTGCCCCCGGACGGAACGCAGGACCGGGGGCTGCGGCAGGTGCCCCTGGCCCAGGAGGCCCCGCAGCCTCCCGCTCCATCGTGGAGCTCCTGGGGCCCTCCGGGCCTCGTGAGGTGTGCTCCGGAGGCCCTGGCGGCCCTCCTGGAGATCCCGGGGGGGACCCTGGGCCAGGGGCACTTCTGGCGACACCCAGGAGGGGCCCAGGGCCCGGTCGCGGCCCCAGGGGGCCTCCCAGAGCAGGGCCCGGAGGCTCCCTGGAAGGCCTCTTGGCGAGGCGGGGGGGGGGCCTCGGAGGAGCCCCCGTAGGCTGCCCTCCTCTGAGGGCCGCCCCCCCTCGCCCCGCCCCCCCCCCCCTTTTGCGCGCCACCGGGCCTCTGCCGCAGGCGCTGATCAAGGCGTTGTAGGTGATAACGTCGGGCTCCACGCCCGAGTCCCGCGCCTCCCTCAGCAGCAGCAGCGCGCGCCGCCACTCCCCGCCCCTGTCGCACGCGGCGACGCCGGCGTTGAAAGTGACGACGTCCGGCTCCAGCTTCCTGTCGCCAACCTCTCCGATCAACGCCAGCGCGTGCTGCCACTGCGCGCCTCCCCCGCATGCAGAGATGGCCACATTGTACAGGACTGTACATGTTTTGGTGCGCGACGAAGGTGCGCCTCGGAGAAGCTTCAGCGCCGCGTTCCACTGCTTCTGGGCCCCACAGTCTTGGATGGCAGCTTTGAGTCGCTCAACCTTGATGGCCTCGAAGCCCTGATGGGCCTTCTGCTCTCTTGCCTTGGCTGAGAAGAGCATTCACGGGATGTGCCATTAGACCTAGAAGTGCTACGACCAGCGCCCACAAACTGAAGCCAGCTTGCAGGCGAGCCTTCGGCAGGGGGGCATGAACAAGAGGATGGGGGATACCATGTGAAAAAAATACGTCACAATTGACAGTACAGCCGCTCATCCCCCTCCGCATCGCCATCAACATCAATCACATCATATCACTTGATGATCATCACCAGCAGCAGCGGCATCGTCATCATCGTCATCATCACCCTCCTCATCACCCTCATTCTGCTCCACCTACCCCTCGTCTTCCTCCTTCTGCTCTTGTCTCTCCTGCTCCTCCTTGTCCGCATGTTCATTCCCTCCTCGCGGCCCTGAGATTGAGGATGGAAGGAGGCAGCGAGGGAGGCAGCGAGAAAGACATGGAAGTAAGCAGCAACGCGAGGCGCGCTCACCCCAACCGCCTGCTGCGTATCCCCCCTCCTCCCTCTCCTCATTCCTCCTCATCATCATCACCGCCACCACCATCATCATGATGATCATCATCATGATGATCAGCATTATCATTATCATCATCATCATCAGCAGCATCATCATCATCATCATCATCATCATCATCATCATCATCATCATCATCATCATCATCATCATCATCATCATCATCATCATCATCATCATCATCATCATCATCATCATCATCATCATCATCATCATCATCATCATCATCATCAATCATCATCAATCATATCATCATCATCATCATCATCATCATTATCATCATCATCATCATCATCATCATCATCAATATCACCATCATCATCATCATCATCATCATCATCATCATCATCATCATCATCCTCTCTGCCTCCCCCTCCTCCTCCCCCACCTCCTCGCCATCCCTTCTCCTGATCGATAAGCCCTCCCTGTAGCACCACCAGACGTGTCGGTAGGGCGGAGCTGGCGTGGCGTTTCGCCTGAGACCTACCCCATCACCAGTTACGAGTCTGAAGCTTGAAACCTCTGGACATGGATGGCGGTTCCTTTGTGAAGATGGCATCTCGCTGCAACACCGCGCACATTCGTCTTGAAAGCTCGCAACAAGTACAATGATGGAGACCGGTACGGTTTCAACATTGGGCTCTCGCCTTGGTTCGGCGCACACTCGTCATAAAAGGCCACAGGTTGGCCTCCTGGGGGGGAGGGGGGGTGCGTGATTGGAACCTCCCCCTTCTTTGATCGGTCTCCTCCAAGATGGCCCCAAGATGGCCCCGAGGCACCCACACCCACACACACACACACACATTGCCAAGCAGCATGATGCCTATGTCCCGCCTGCTCCAAAATTTCTTTGAAAGAATATTAAGAAGAACAAGAAGAAGAGTTACAATAGTAATGCTAGCACTCAGAAGCCATCAAAATCATATTCACACTGAGAAAAATGAAGAAAATCATAATCATACTAATACCACTGATAAGAATAGAAATCAACAGCATTAACAGCATCATCATCTTCATCAACAGCAGAATCATCAGCATCAAAAAACGAATGAAACAACGATTCATAATCACAACATTAATGACAACATCATGACTAATAATAGATATATATATATATGTATATATATAAATAATAATAATAAAAAAAAAAAAAAAAAAAAAAAAAAAAAAAAAAAAAAAAAAAAAAAAAAAAAAAAAAAAAAAAAAAAAAAAAAACGATGAACGATAATGATGATAAGGAAAATAAGGTTAGCAATACGAAAACGAACAATGATAGTAACAGAAAGCCATGGTAATCATTAAAACCATACTCATTAAAACAAGAATAATCCAAATAACAATAATAATAATTATAATCGTGCGCGCCCCCGCCCAGACGGCGGCGCTGGCGAAAGTAGACTCGAGGGCCAGATGCCTCGCCGACGTAAGCGTGTGAAAAAAGTATCGTCGACGTTCCTTGCGCCGTCCCCTTAGGGGAGGCGCAGGAGGAGGAGGTGGAGCGCCCTCGCGCGAGGCAAGAAACGTGCAAGCGACTGGTCCTGTCGCACCACCGAGACCACCACCACCACCACCACCACCACAACCAGGGGACCCGGAGGTGGGCGGGAGATGGTCGTCGCCGCCGCAGCCGCAGCCGCCGCCTCTTCGCCATGACTGCCGCTGGGTCGCCGCCAGGGCCGCCGCTGCCGTGGCGGGGCCGCCGTCGGTCGTCGCGCGGGCCACCGCCGTCGGAGGAGGGGCCGCCAGCGGGGGGCGGGAGGTCGCCGTTGTCGTCGGGGTCGCCGTTCCCAGCGTCGTCGTCCAGGGAGTCGTCGGCGTCAACGTCGTCGTCGGGAACGTCGTCGGCGTCGTCGGGGCCGCCGTCGTGCGGAGGCGTCCCGAGGCAGTCGCCGAGGTCGCCATCCGGGCCGCCGCCACCCGGGACCTCGCCCCGAGGATCCCAATGG